GTGTGTGACACTGTACCTGGCTTGTTTTGCTTTTTGGGTTTTTAAATTTTTTTTTTTTATATTTGATGGACCTTTATTTTTATTTATATGTGGTGCTGAGAATTGAACGCAGTGTCTTACACGTGCTAGGCAGGCGCTGTACCACTGAGCCACAACCCAGCCCCTTGTTTTGCTTTTATTAGTGCGTTATAGTCATACATAATAGTTGGCTTCATTTTGACATAATCATACATGCATGGAATTTAATTTACTCCATTTCAGTTCCTGGTTCCCTGCTTTCCACTCCTCCTCCTCTTTATTCTCCTTTTACTCTACTGCTCTACCATTTATTTATTTATTTATTGTACTTGGGATGGACCCAGAGGTACTTTTACCACTAAGCTACATCCCCAATTACATTTATGCATGTATGTATGTATGCTATGTATTTGTACTGGGAATTGAACCCAGGGGTGCTTAATCACTGAGGAACACCCCAGCCCCCCTTTTTTGCATAGATCTGATTTGGTATGATCTTTTCTTTTTTTAAAAAAAATATTTATTGATTGATTTTACAGTATAATGCATTTTGACACAGTGCATACAAATGGAGCACAACTTCTCATTCCTCTGGCTGTACATGGTGCAGAGTCACTCCAATAGTGTAATCATACATGTATTTAGGGTAATAATGTCAGTCTCATTCTACTGTCCTTCCCATCCCCACAGTCCCACCCCTCCCCTCACTCCCTTCTATACAAACCAGAGTTCTTTCATTCTTCCCTATCCCCCTGCCCCACTATGGATCCACTTATCAAAGAAAACATTCAGCTTTTGTTTTGGGGGAATTGCCCAGGCTTTTAAAAATATTTTATTTAGAGACAGGGTCTTACTAAGTTGGTTAGGGCCTCACTAAGTTGCTGAGGCTGGCTTTGAACTTGCAGTACTCCTGCCATAGCCTCCCGAGCTGCTAGGTTTATTTTTTATTGGGGCAGGGTTTTTCTGAGTTGGTTAGGGCTTCACTAAATTGCTGAGGCTGGCCTCAAACTTTCGAATCCTGCCTCAGCCTCCTGAGCCCCTGGGATTACAGGCATGCACCACCATACCTAGCTATTTATTTAATTTTAAATTGGTGCTTTATAGAAATACATAAAAGTGGAATTCACTGTGGTATATTTACATATGCACATAGCATAATTTTGTCAAATTCATTTTTAATTTCCTCCCCTTTCCTATCCTTCCTCCTTCCCACTCATTTTTTTTTTTTTGTCAATGGACTTTATTTTGTTTATTTATATGTGGTGCTAAGAATCAAACCCAGTGACTCACACATGCTAGGCAAACACTCTTCCACTGAGCCACAATCCCAGCCCTGCCTCCTCAATCTTGAGCTTATGTCTTCTTTGCTGAGCACAGTGGCATATACCTGTAACCCCAGAAGCTCAGGAGGCTGAGGCAGAGAATGACAAGTTCAAAGCCAGTCTCAGCAACTTAGTGAGGTCCTAATCAATTTAGTGAGACCATGTATCAAAATTAAACAACAACAACAACACAAACAACAACAACAAACCGGGGAGGCTGGGCATGTGGCTCAGTGGTTAAGTCCCCCTGGGCTCAATCTCCAGAACCAAAAAAAAAAAAAAAGACTCAATCCTTAGAACAGTTTTAGGTTAAAAGCAAAATTGAGTGAAAGGTACAGAGTTCATATATGCCCTGTCCCTACACATGAACAGCCTCTCTACTCTCAATGTCCAGCCTCAGAGATGGTACATTTGTTACAGTTGATGAACTTACACTGACCTCATTACCATCCAAAAATCATAATTTACTTTAGGGTTCACTCTTAGTATTGTACATTCTATGGATTTGGCCAAAAATGTATAATGACATATATTCACCAATATCATATCCTACTCAACAGTTTCACTGCTCTAAAAATCCTTTGTGTTCTGCCTCCTCCTTTCCGCCTCCAAACCCTGGCAACTATTGATCTACTGTCTCCATAGATCAGCCTGTTTCAAAATGTCATTCGTTATAGTTGAAATCATACTGTATATAACCTTTTAAAAACATTTATATTGGTGAATTATAATTATACATAATAGTGGAATTCATTATGTCATATTCATACATGCACATTTGGTCAATCTTATTCCCTAGTACCTTCTTCTTCAGTATATAGCCTTTTAAAATTGACTTCTTTAGGGCTGGGGAAGTAGCTCAGTGGTAAAGTGTAACTTGGCATGCACCAAGGCCCTGAGTTCAATCCCCAGCACTGCAAAAAAGGAAAAAGAAAAAAAATAATTCTTTAATTTAGCAATATACATTTGTGGTTCTTCCATGTTTTTTCAGGGGTTGATGCTCATTTTGTTTTTATACTGAAAAATATTTCATTGGATGTTCCAAATCTTATGCATTTACCTACTGAAGACCATCATATTTGTGTCCAAATTTTGGCAAATATGAATAAAACTATAATAAACATCTCTTTGTAGGTTTTTGGTTTGTTGTTTTCTTGAGATACAGTCTTGCTGTTGTTATGTTGTCCCGGCTGCCCCAGAACCTGTGATCCCTTGCCTCAACCTTCACTTGCTACAGCATCCAGCTGTGTACAACAAGTTTTTTTTTTTTTTTATTACAACCCCCACTTCACCTGCATTGGGTATTGAGCCCAATGCCACTGAGCTGCATTCCCCAGCCATTTTTATTTTATTTTTACTTGTTAAATTTTTGGTCCTATGGCTTGAACCCAGGGGTACTTTACCACTGAGCTATATTCCCCAGTCCTTCTAATTTTAAATTTCAAGATAGGGTCTTATTAAGTTGCTGAGGCTGGCTTTGAATTTGTGATCCTCCTGCCTCAGCCTTCCAAGTAACTGGATTACTGAGCCTGTGTGCATGTTTTTGTATGGATGTGTTTCCATCTCATTGGGTAAACACCAAGGATTGTGTGGCAAGAGTGTGTTTAATTTTGTAAGAAACTGCCAAACTTGGGGCTGGGGTTATAGTTCAGTGGTAGAGTATACGCCTAGCATATGTAAGGCATTAGGTTTTATCCTTAGCACCACATAAAATAAATAAATGAAATAAAGTTAAAAAAAAAAAACCCTGCCAAACTGTCTTGTAGTGAGCCTATACCATTTTGTATTCCCATCAGCAATGAGTGAGAGTTCTTATTGCTGCACACCCTCACCAGCATTTGGTGTTGGTAAGGCTTTAGATATTTTGCCATTCTAATAGATGCATAGTGCTCTCATTATTTTAATTTGCAATTCCCTAATGACATATGAAGTAGAACATATCCATTCATGTGCTTATTTGGTGTCTGTATAGTTTCTTTATCCATTCAGCCATGTCCCGTCCCTGCCCGCCCCCCCATACTGGGGACTGAACTCAAGCACTTAACCACTGAGGCATTTCCTGAGCCCTTTTTATTTTGAAACAGGGTGTCAATAAGTTGCTGAGGCTGGCCTCAAACTTGCAATCCTCCTGTCTCAGTCTTCCAAGTCACTGGGATTGCAGGTGTGTGGCATCTTTGGCCCATTTTTAAATTGCATTGTTTGTCTTCTTACTTTTGAGGTCTCCCCACCCCCACCCAGTACTAAGGATTCAACTCAGGGGCACTGAGTTCTTTGTGCATTTGGGATAACAGTGCTTTATCAGATATTTCTTTTGCAAATCTTTTCTCTCAATCTGTAACTTGCTTTCTTGTTCTCTTAAGATTTTTTAATTTTTAACTTTGTATTAATTTTTTCAGCAACTATAACTTTTGTATACATATATGTAAATATACATATATTTATACTTAGTTGTTGATGGACCTTTATTTTTTATTTATTTATATGCAGTGCTGAGAATCGAACCCAGTGCCTCACACATACTAGGCAAGCGTTCTACCACTGTGTTACCCCAGCTCTCAGCAACTATAAGTATAAAAGAAATATTTTTATTGAGGTAGGTTTCACATAATTCACCCACTTAAAAGTGTGCAATTCAACTGTTTTCAGTATCTTAAAAGATTATTAACCATTACTACAGTCTAATTGTAGAACGTTATTTCTCCCCAAGAAAGACCATAAGCACAGTAGTCACACCCCATTCCCTTCCACTACCATTTCCAGCTCAAGGCAACCACTAATCTACCTCAGTCTCTGTAGATTTGCTTATTCTAGATATTTCATATACATTGATTCATTGACAATATGTGGCCTTTGTAAGTGGCTTCTTTGACTAACAGGTTTTCAAGGTTAATCCATGTTGAGCATAAACTGTTCCTTCCTTTCTGTTTATTGCTGTGTAGTATTATCTATCTATGCAAGATTTCATTTTTTCACTTCATCAGTTGAGGGACACTTGAGTTGTTTTCATTTTTTGACTATTAACGAATAATGCTACTAAAGAACATCCATGTGCAAATTTTTTTTTTTTTGTACTGGGAATTGAACTCAGCGGCACTTGACCACTGAGCCACATCCCCAGCCCTATTTTGTATCTAATTTAGAAACAGGGTCTCACTGAGTTGCTTAACACCTTACCATTGCTGAGGCTGGCTTTGAATTTGTGATCCTCCTGTCTCAGCCTCCCAAGCCACTGGGATTACAAGCGTGCACCACTATGCCAGGCTCATGTGCAAGTTTTTGTGTAGACCTGTTTTCATGTCTCTTGGGGGCAGACCTTGGAATGGAATTTCTTGGTCCAATTATAACTCTATATTTATCATTTTAAGGAACTGCCCATCTATTTTCCGAATTAACTGTACCAAGTTACATTTCTACCAAAAATGTATATAAACTTGGCATTAAGTATAGACAGTTTTTAAAGAACCCTAACACTGTTTCAAATAGAACATAGTAGGTATTAAGTAAATATTTGTTGAATGGAAAATGGGTATTCTGTGAGTAAGGTGAGGCTAAATGTAGGAAGTCAGAGATGAGGTTGGAGATGGGTGAGTTCCTGAAAGTAACTTTCTCTCCAGAACTAGCTGACCAGGCCCGTCTGAGCACTGTGTTCTTCCCAAATAGGATCAACCAGTCCCTTCTGAGCCTGAGATTGACCTGGAAGCTCTCATGGAACTATCCACAGAGGAGCAGAAGACTCAGTTGGAGGTAGGATGAGACTGGGCCCAGAGGTTGGGGGCCAAAAGCTGGTTTGAGATCAAGGTGGACCCAGGAACCCTGAGTCTGCTTCCTTGGGTTGAGTGGGGAGAACGACTTCAGAGGGGAGAATTATTATTGGGAGATTGAGTGGGACTCACAGGAATGTACTTTGGCTCATGGATCCACTCTCTGCTCTCTTCTACTCAGGCCATTCTCCAAAACTGCCCCCGCCCCACAGAGGTATGGGATATTCTGCTGGTCTAGGGGCAAGAGGGGGATGGGGATGAAGGGTGGTTGTGGGGAGGTCACTAATGAAGAGGAATGTTTGAAAGGAAAGCTTGGTCCTGCATCCTTCTTTCCTTCCCTGGCTAAGGGAAGCTAGGATCACAGTCAGGGAGAGATTGGGGAGGGCAGTGTGGTGCGTGGGTGTGATTTCATGCCTTAATCTTACTCTTCTTTCTCCTTCAGCCTTTTATCTCTGAGCTTCTCAGTCAACTCAAGAAACTCCGAAGACTCAGCCGGCCTCAGAAATAAACCTGGAGAGACTACCTTAGCAACCTCAGTACCCTGGACCCTGGCTGAAAGGAATACAGTTCCTTGAGACACAGACAAGGAATATAAAGGACAGGGAGGGACATTGGTACACCCTAGTATATGTGCAGTCGCAGCTAGGCTGTCTGGGAGCCACTCATTGCTGTTGTCCAGTGCTTTCCATGTCAGCCAAGTGGATAAAATCTTTAGCAGCCCCAGCTAAATGGAGTGTGGAGCATATTTGTGCAGAGGGACCAGGGGAAGGAAAGGGTGAAGCGATTCATTCAAAGACCAATATCCTAAGTCACTAGGCTGTACCTACATACCTGATCCATCCATCCATCCTCCAAATGGGTCTTAAAAACTCAAAGAAAGTCAACAGCTTTGCTTTGGTGAAATCACAATCTAATAAAGCCTGGAGGCCAAGCTGAGGGCAGATGGCTAAGACACATAGTGTCCTGGCATTACAAGGGAGCTCAAATGTCAAAGATTAATTTTGAATCTAGAGAGGAGGTAACAGGAAAACTTAGCTGGATCTGGGGGTATCAGAGAAAGCGCACCCTTCTTCTACCCACAGCTGATGGGGGAGGCTCAGGTGAGGGTCTTTTTCTTGAGTTGATTCTAGTTGTGGGCAGGAAGAGAAAAAGTAGAGGCTATGCAGAACATAAAGAACATAGGTTGAGAGGCCAGGGGCAGCTCAGGAGAAGTCATTAGAAAACAGATACTGGGTCTGAATGGCAGGCAGGTTGGGACAGGAGCCCTGGGAGGTGGGGTCCTTTGTAAGTAAGGCAGGTATGTATGCATTGTTCCTCCATGCACTGTTTGATTACTAAGAGAGACTGAGAAATTCAATACAGAGGGGCCTGGAAATTCTGCCTAGAGCAGGAAACACAGTTTGGTTGAATGAATTTTCATGCTTTCTTCATGAGGCCACCAGGATAGGTGGGACTGTTCCTGCTGGAAGAAGATTACAGGATAGCTCATTTTTTTTCTTTCCTTCCACAGAACTGTTCTTATAGTCTGCTCTGCTCTTGCCATCTCTCACAGGGCCTGGGCTCGGGGTCAACTAGGTTCTAGAGATAAGAGATGCTGAGGGTGGGGTAGCTCAGTGGCAGAGCATGTATTTAGCATGGGCAAAGACTAGGTTCAATCCTCAGCATTGCTAGAAAGAGAGAGATATGGGTAGATGCTGAGCCCAATGAATACATATACTTTATTAGATCTACTATGTGCCAGGTAGGGGAACGGGCCCTGCTGGAGCCAGGCTACAGGACTCACCCTTAGATTCAGTTTGGTCTTTCTAGAACATCATGCCTCTTACTTCTAGTCCAGGCTTCTTGGAGGAGGGACCCTACTTTTTCCCTTTGGCTTTTCCACTCATTGTTTCAAATGGAATCTTTCCTCTTTCCAGGGGACACTGAGGCTCAGGAAGGGGTGTATCCATCATCAGTAGACTTGATCTGCTGTCTCATTGATGCCCTCAGGGCATCACTGCCAGCCTGCAGGATGTCTATAGGACCACCTTTCCAGGAGGGTCGGGGTTTCCTCAGTACTGTCCGCCAGTATATGGGGGACGGTAGGCTGATGTCTGGTGTTCTTTAAGCTCAAAGGCATCATGGCCCTCCCTGTGGAGCAAAGGGATGCAGATCAGGGATTGTAGGCAACTCTCGAGCCCTTCCACAGAACATTCTACCTGTACCCACCGGAAGCACCGAGCACAGTAGAGGTCTCCATCACAGCCAGCACATCGCAGGGTGGCATCCTCATTGCAGATGCAGCACCAGGGAAGTTCTTCTTCCTTAGCCTCTGGCCTGGGAGCCATGACTTGGGCCTTCAGGGACCAGAGAGGAATACAAGAAGTAAGATACATGATAGGAGCAATCAGCCAGGTAGGAAGGAAGGCTATGGGCTTTTCTCACCTTAGGCTCTGTTCTGCAGGGTGGGGCCTGGGGTTGGGAAGCTGGCTCCACAGGGATGTTAAAGCCACTTGCCTCATCCAAGGCAGCTTCTTCAGTGAGCTGTGAACAGGTGAAAGGGTACTACTCCCTGCTCCAGGCCCTTCTCCCAGTATTTCTGTGCTGTAGCCCTGGCTTCTCTTCTTCCTTTACTTCTTGCCTATGGCTGCTGATTCCCCATCTCAGGGGGCCAAGGGGCAAATCTGGGTCACAGGGACACAAGGACCCCAACTTGAACAGGAGCTGCAGAATGGCTACCCCAGAATGGAGGCCAGGTGAATGGGGCCAAGCAGCTATGAGGCAGAAACAGGACAGGGGTGGCTGGATGGGTAAGCCAGGCCTACCTGCTGCATGACTCTCTGGATGGCTGTCTCCTCATCCTCCTCATCATCACTGTCTGGGAGGCGGAGGTCCTGAAGGGTCACTTGAATGAGGGAGAGATGGAAATGGGAGGAAGAGTGAGGGTGAGAGATTTCACCTAAACTACTGTCCTCTTCTGGAAATGGTTTGTTTCCCAGGGTTTGTTCCAGAGCTGAGGAGCCTCATTAGCCACCCCTGTTCAGAACTTGTCCCTCCCTGTCCCAACCCTACAAGGCTGGACCATTAATGAAGTAGCCTTAAGGAGCAGGGCAGGAAAAGAAGCCTCAGCACCTGAAAGGACTGAAGGTCCCCCTACCTGATGGCTGCCACTGATTCCTCATCTACTGCTTTGCCCCAGTTCATTCCTCATGGCTCTGGGCAAGGCTCAATAGATCTCTGGGCATAGGGACCTCTAGCACCTGACTTAGCCCTGGGAAGGAGAGCTTGGCCTGAGTGCAGGGGAAGGCTGTGATCAACAGACACTAGTGAGCAGCTGACTCCAGCCTTTACCTTTGTCAGGGTCCTGTCCCCGCAGCACAGCCAGTCGCTTGGCAAGGGCCAGGATCCGTTCCTGCCTTGTATTCTCCTCCCGTAGCTCAACTGCTGCCTCAGCCAGCAGCCTGGTCTTCTCCTTCTCCAGGGACCAACTGGCCTGCCCCTGGGAATTAGTGTGCTGGCTTCCTGTGCCACCCTGGTTGAGGTCATTCTGGAGAGAGGCAGCTGGAAGAAGTAATGCAGTCAGGGAAGAAGAGGCATTCTAAGATTTCTCCCCCATAAGTCACTGAGCCCATTTCTCAACTTTTTAAAAACTATACATTATCAGCTTTGTGCTCAGCCCTAGCACATGTGACTTATATTACAAATAAGATTAGTATTTCCTCCGATTTTTCAAATGTTAAAAATTAGCAATTTTGGACATATTTTTTCAACCACATCCATCCCCACCCCACTGATATGTATGGGCTGGATGTCCCATGGTTTCAGAATCACTGCCCTAAAGGATTAGGATATGAGGAGGCTAAAGTTCAGCCAGTTTCTGCCATTCAGGGCTGGAATTAGACTTCCCTGGGAGCAGCACAAAGAAGGCATGACTGAAGCTGAGATTTTATATATCACTGGGTAGGAAGAACTTTACCAGAGTGGGTGTGGCTCTGACATGATCACCTTTAGCCTAGAGTTTCAGAGCAAGAGGTTTGAAACCAGACAGCTTTGGGTACAAGGCCCATCCCTGCCACTTAAGAACTATGTGGCCTTGGTCAAGTTCCTTAAGCTCACCATGCCTGAGTTTCCTCATTTATATATGGGCAATAATAGTACATACCTCAAAATTATTGAGGTTGGTCCATGAAATTGTGTCTGTAAGCAAGGTTTCTCAGTCTTAGTTCTATTGACACATTGGACCAGATAATTCTTTGTTGTGGTGGAGAGGCTAACCTATGCATTGCAGGATGTGGCTTATGGCATCCTGGGCTTCTACCCACCAGATGCCAATAATATCCCCCAAGTTGTGATAACCAAAAAGTCTTTAGACGTTTTCAAAAGTACCCTGGAGGGTAAAATCATCCATGGTTGAGAACTACTTCTCTGAAGCTTTCAGAAAACACCGTCCAAAAGAATTTTCTATGATGAAGGAAACAGTGTATATTATGTCCCTTATTTATCCCATAAGGTAGTAGCCATGAGCTCATGTGAGTACTGAACACTTGAAATACGGCTGGTAACACTAAACAAATGAACTTTAAATTATATTTAATTTTGAATAGCCTCTTCTTTTATATCATCATCATTATAGAGAACACTCACTACACTCAATGAACACTTATATTATGAGCCAGGTATGGTCCCAAGAACTATTGGATTATCTCATTTGCTCCTCATGACTTCCCTGTGAGGTAGGTTTTTACCATATACACCTCCATTTTACATATGATGAGAGTGAGATTTAGGTCAAATAACTTGCCCAAGATCACACAATTAGTATGTGGTAGAAATGGGGATCACTGTCTGATTCTAAAGCCCATGCACTTAAACACTAGGCCTACATTAGCTCCCTTTGGAGTAAATACTCAATAAATGATAGTTCTTATGATGTTGGTCATTCTTTACTTTATATTCATCTCCAGAGGGTGGATAGCAGAGCCTCTCCCATTTGGGGGAAGAGATGGGGCATGTTCCTGGAGGAGCTAAGTAGAGGGGTTACCTGGACCTTCTTGTTCCCAGCTCTCATCAATAGCCACCTCAGCTGCCAGCTGTGTTAGCAGATCTTGTGTCTGCTGATCCTGTGTCCTGGTGTCTGCTGTCAGATGTTCCTGCCCAGAGGAGGGAACCTCAGTGGGGAGTGGGAGTAAGGTAAAAGCCACATAAAGCCTAGAAGTATCCTGGGTCAGGGGTGGATGCTGAGGAGTTCTCAAAGACCAGGCAAAGGTTTGTCTTAATCAAGTAGGTCTGGCAGTCCCCAAGAGGACTGTGTCCACTTTTTTCTGACCCACTCAATCTTGCTGCTTGTCCCTTGTTCCTTGGCCTGGCAGCAGGCCTGAGGCTCAGGAGGTAGGGGTGGGAGGCTTTACCAATTCCTGTAAAGTATATGATCATACATGTATCTGAGCTTCTTCTGGATCCTTTCCCTAGGAATCCCTTCCCTCCCAAGCCTTAGCACTCACCAGCCTATGGGTGTGAGAAGGCAGAACCCTGCCCTGAAGGGCAGCAAGCCGAGTCTCCATCTCCTGGACAGAAGGGATAGAACCCTGGGTTTCATCCTTCAGTGCAGCCAGCCGTGCCTCTATCTCTGCCTGTGAGGGTATTGACTCTGCAATTGGCATAGGGGGAGCCAGGTAAGGGCCAGAGGAACCTCAATCTCAGAATCTCTAGACTGTCCTTTTGGCTACCCCGCCTGCCTCCACTCACTTGGCTTGTTCTCCTGACGGAGTCGTGCTAGGCGCTCAGCAATGACTTGGTCTTGTTGGGTCAGTGCCTGCCTCCTGGAGGTGCTGGGCTTTTGCTTGGTTTCCAAGGCTGCCACACGTCTAGCACGATAAGAGATAGAGGTGCTTGAAGGCAGAAGTGAGGACTGAAGGCACCCATTCACTGTTTCCCATTCAAATTATTTCTAGGCATCTAGGGAGTCCTGCAGTAGGAAATTTTCTATGGCTCTTGCTGCTGTCACCCTGCAGCCCAGCCCTGCTTACCAAATAGAGGGTCTGGTTGAGAGGGCAAGTTCTGCCAAGTGCTTGTACTGGGGAGATGGTGATAAGCTACTTTCTGAGTTAAAGAGGGTGTCCAGGGCTGGGCATGGCAGCACTAGCCAGGTGTGGTGGTGCATGCCTGTTATCCCAGCAGCTTGGGAACTGAGACTGGAGGATTGAGAGTTCAAAGCCAGCCTAAGCGACTTAGTGAGGTAGTTATAAACTCAGTGAGACCCTATTTCTAAATAAAATATAAAAAAGGGCCAAGGATATGGCTCAGTGGATTAAGCACCCCTGGTACCAAAAAAAAAAAAAAAAATCTCCTGACCCTGAATTTACTTGAACTAGAGACTAGGAGAAGAGTCCTACCTATGCTCCCTTGTCTTTTCCCTGTCCTCATTATTTTTTCCTTTAATACTTACTTTTTATAGTTCTGGGGTGGTGACCACTTGGAGACATTGGCAGGAGAACCTCTGTAGAGAAGAAATCTGGTATCAGAAGTCCTGCCATCCCAGTCAGTGTCCCCACCTCCACCCCAAACACTTCCTGGGCTGATCTCTGGCTATACAGCACAAGGTTGCAAGGGCTGTCCAGATGCTCACTGCTGTACTTGGTGAAGCCCTTATCCATACTGACTTCTTACCTGGTCAGGACCTCGTGGCACTGCTTGCAGACTTTCTGTTGGGTGTTACCAGTCCGAGGTACCACTGCACTGAAGCTGAGGCAGCCGGAACAGAAGGCCCGGCCACAATTCTTACAGCCATACTACAAGAAATATGAAGCAGGAGGATCCATCTGTTATCTACCCATATGGGCTCCTCCCTGGTACTCTTGAGTATTCAGAGAGAGAGGACAGAGAGGTTGTGACCAGCTATTAGGAGGAAGAAAAGGATTGGGACAGAGGGTAAAGCAATTCCTTGGTTTCCAGTCCCTTATTCAAATCACATAAAGCTTCAAACAAAATTCCCATGCTTTCAACCACCTTCAACTGCGTGCCTGGGGAGAGGTGTAGAAGGCAAACCCTGTGTTTCAGGTCACTGACTCTTTAACAAAGGAGAATCAGACAGTGCAGGGCTCATGCCTTCTCTGCTCTGGAATAGATAGAGGGAGGTTTAGCTCAGGATGGGATGATAACAATGGCCTCCATTTATTAAGTACTTACTGTGTGCCAGGCACTAAGCTCAGTACTTAACAAAAATTACATGATTTGCCCAAACCAAGGTCACTCCATGATAAAACAGCAGAGCTCAAATTTGAACAGACTCAAAAATCCAGGATTCTAAAATGTCCTGCCTCCCTGTATGCCATTAAATTATCACATCTGGTTCAGGCACAGAAAAGCAGTATTTTACCATAATAACCTGGTAGGTCTGTGTTGAGGACAAGAGAGCCTTTGACATGGTGCCCTGGGACGATAGGGGAGTGTGATCATCTAACTCAAGAAACAAGGGTAATGGCAGGCTGCTGTATGGGGAAGGTTTCAAAGCAGAGAGAATAATGAGCAGGACAACTGTCCCAAGGTATTAAAACCGCGCGGGGGAGGAACGGAGTGGGAAGGCAACAGTTGGATGCTACACTTATGTTACAGAAAAATGTAATTTCAAAAAATGACGTTAACAAGCTTTAGGGTGCTCTCACCTTCAGCACCTCACTGGAACCTCGCATCAACCCCGAAAGCGAGGGAGCGCTGGAAAGAACCCACAACACCGAATCTTTGGACCGTAAATCTCATGCTTTTCCCTTCGCTTCGCGCCCTCCCTAACCCTTTAGCCCTCTGGGAGAAGACTCGCCTCCTTCTTGAAGAGGGTGAACTTGACAGCACAACCATAGCACCTACTCTCCATCGCGGCTCCCGGCGGTGCAGAAAACGGAGGATTGAAGTCAAACCTTTCAGGACCAAGCCCCTAGGAAGTTCACCCACCCACGTCCTGCCCTACACGCCCACTTGCGCGATCCCGCCTCGGCCTTGAGTTGGGGGAATCCAGACTCACCGCCTGCGCCCGAGCGCGGCACAGGCGGGAGCGGGGGCTGCCGGGAGCAGTAGTTCATTTACGGCTGCGCGGTCCCTCAGAGTCAGTCAAGCCTGACCCGGAACACGACCATTCCCAGGGGGCTAAGCGCCACTAGGCCTGCTCGGAGCCTGCGGTCCCTGCACATGCTTGGGCTCTTGGGAATTGTAGTACGAGCACCGTCAAGGCTGGAACCATGGCGGTGACCAAGGAACTATTACATATGGACTTGTACGCATTGCTGGGCATTGAGGAGAAGGCGGCAAACAAAGAGGTGAGAATGGTGGCGAGGAAGGCTGATTCTGAGCGACCTGGCAGCCTTTACTGTCCTGGTTCCTTGGCTGGGACCGGCACCTTCTCTTCAGGTTCGACCAGGCCCTGGGCGGAGAAGGAAGGGAGGCCCGGCGGCCTCAGAATGTAGGCTCCCACACCTTCCTGAACAATTTGAGGGCCTCACAAGTAAGGGGAGTTCTGGGGGCTGTTTAGGAGAGCCCCTGTATGGGAGAGTCCTGGATGAAACTGTGAGCGAAGCCGGCCTCCTCTCTGCGCCTGCGCAGCCTCCGCCTTGGATTTGGCTTCCGTCTTGTGCTGTCTTTCATTTCGGTGTTACCATTCTCAGCAAGTGATAGCGGGCCCTAAGGAAGAGAATCGGAAGGGTAAGGCAAGTGGCCCAGATTTCCACCTACCTAGGTGTACATCAACGTGAGGGGTCGCAGGGAACGGGTTCGGTGATGCTCACCTATCTTCCCACAGACTCGGAAGGTCGAGGCAGGAAGATCGCAAGTTCGAGGCCAGCCTCAGCTATTTAGTGAGACCCTGTCTCAGAATAAAAAAAAAAAAAAAAAAAAAAGAGGCTGAATATGTAGCTCAGTGGTAAAGCACCCTTGGGTTCAACCCCCAGTACATTAAAAAGAAAAAAAAAAAAAAAAAACGATGGTGGATGGTGAGACACTGATTAGTCTGGACAGTGGTTTCTGCTATTTCCCCTAGGATCACGGTGGTAGTTGTAATAATATAGATAGAAAAGGCTGATAATTCATGGGATGAATATTATGCCCACCAATGCCCCCTGTACTTCTGAGCTGCTCTGCTGAAGTTCTGAGTGAGCTTTCTAGAAGAGGGAGCTTTGGGGCAGAAAAATCGGGGAGACCCAGAAGGTTTTGAGAAGAGATGCTGTCAACTTATACAGAATTTCCCCTGCAGCTGAAATCAAAAGTGACCACAGGGGGCTGGGGATGTGGCTAGAGCAGTAGTGCGCTCGCCTGGCATGCTTGCGGCCCGGGTTCGATCCTCAGCACCACATACAAACAAAGATGTTGTGTCGGCTGAAAACTAAAAAATAAATATTAAAAAATTCTCTCTCTCTCTCTCTTAAAAAAAAAAAAAGTGACCACAGGGACATCTATAAAGCACCAAAAATATCTACTACAATATCTACTACATCTCTCTCATAAGTCTAATATTTCGGTATTCATAAGTCTAATATTTCGTGGTGTCGCAGGCCTGTAATCCTGAGGCAGGAGAATCACAAGTTCAAAGCCAGCCTCAGCAAACTTAGTGAGGCCCTGTCTTAAAATAAAAAAAATGTGGGGCTGGAATTGTGGCTCAGTTTTAGAGCGCTTGCGTAGCATGTGTGAGACACTGGGTTCGATTCTCAGCACAGCATATAAATAAACAAAATAAAGTCCATTGACAATTAAAAAAGAATTTAATTTTTTTAAAGGGTTGGGGATATGGCTCAGTGGTTAAGTGCACCTGGGTTCAATCCCCAGTATCAATCAGTTAATCAATCAATCAATAAAAAAGAATAAAGATAAACCATGAAAAGTAAGTGGCACACCCTTAGAAAAGCCTTACCAATTATTTTCTTTCATAGCAGCCAGTTCTCCTTTCCAGTACATATTTCCCTTTGCACTTTGGATACATTGGCTAACTTCATGCTAATGGACATTTTTTGGTAGAAAGCAAGGGAGTCCTAGTCACTGGTGTTCCCTTCTCTTGGTTTAATACCCATCATGTTCTCTAGGGGAACTTGGGAGAACCAAAGGATATTTAAAATATATATATGAGGAAAGCTTCCTAAAGTTGGTTCTTTGACCATACAGCCTAGGAGGTGTCCCTTCCACCCCTGCCCCAGTACTGGAGATTGAACCCAGGGACGTTCTACCACTGAGCTATATTCCCAACCATTCTGTTTTATTACTTATAATTTAAATTTTATTTATGTTTTTGGTACTGTAGATTGAACCTGGGGATGATTTACCACTGAGTTACATCCCCAGCCCTTTTAATTTTTTTTTTTTTTTTTTTTTTTTAATTTTGAGACCAGACCTTGTGAAGTTGCTTAGGGCCTTACTAAGTTATTGAGGCTGGCCTTGAACTTGCAGTCCTTCTGCTTCAGTCTCCTGAGTTGGCTGGGATTATAGGTGTGTGGCACTGGGCCCCGTTTTTTTTTTTTAAAATATTTATTTCTTAGTTTTCGGCGGACACAACATCTTTTTGTTTTGTATGTGGTGCTGAGGATCGAACCCGGGCCGCACGCATGCCAGGCGAGCGCGCTACCGCTTGAGCCACATCCCCAGCCCTTTTTTTTTTTTTTTTAAATTAATATTTTCAGTTGTAGATGGATACAATACCTTTATTTATTTATTTATTTTTAATGTGGTGCTGAGGATCAAACCCAGTGCCTCATACATGCTAGGCAAGCACTCTATCACTTAGTCACAACGCCAGCCCTCTTGCCCAGCTTTTTTAAAAAAATTCCATATGTAAGTGAGATAATGCAGTATTTTCTTTTCAGTGTCTGGCTTACATCACTTAGCATAATATCCATGTCATCTTAAGTGACAGAATTTCCTTCTAAGGTTGAATAATATTCCATTATGTGTACATATATATGTATATATTTTTAAAAATTTATTAGAGGGGCTGGGGTTGTGGCTCAGTGATAGAGCGCTTGCCTAGCTTGTGTGAGACACTGGGTTCGATTCCTAGCACCACATACAAATAAATAAAAAAATAAATAAAGGTCCATCAAAAACTAAAAAAATATTTTAAAAAATTATTAGAGCTTTATAATTATACATAGTATTTGGGTTCATCCCAACCAACTTATATATGCATGGAATTTGATTTCAGTTCATGATCCCCTACTTTTCCTCCTCTTTTCCCTCCCCTCCTTGTTTTCCTGCCTCTATTAGACTTCCTTTCACTTGTCTATTTATTTATATTTGATTGGTTCTTTTTACTTATATAAAAAGGTGAAATTTTCTGTGGTATATTTATATATGCACATAATGTGTTTTTTTAAGAATTCATTCTGTTTTGTCTCCCCTTTCCCATCCTTCCACTCTGCTTCTTGATCTTCCCTTTATGATATTCTGCCCTTCTCTCTTAGCTTATTTCATTTAGTATATTATTCTCCTTTTCCATTCATTTACTGGCAAATGCCATAATTTCATTCCACTTTATTCCTCTTTATGGCTGCATAGAACTCCCTTGTGTGTGTGTGTGTGTGTGTGTGTGTATACACACACACACAATTTCTTTATCCATTCATCTGTCAATGGACACTTTGGTTAGTTCTGTCTTCACTGTTGTTAGTAATGCTGCAACGAACAAGCTAGGAACCTGAATCATGAGCCATTCTTTTTTTTTTTTTTTTTTTGATACTGGGTATTGAACACAGGCATGCTTTACTGCCTATCCACATCCCAATCCTTTTTTATTTTTAATTTGAGACAGGGTCTTGCTGTATTGCTGAGAGCCTTGCTAAACTGCTGAGGCTGGCCTCAAACTTACAATCTTCCTTTCTCAGCCTTCTGAGTCCCTGGGATTACAGGCATGTGCCACTGCCCTGGCTGTGAGTCATTCTTTCTTTCTTTCCTTTTTAAATAGTCTATTTGACTTTTTTTTTTTTTAATTCTAATCTATTGGGCCTGTCAAGTCTATTCTCACAGAAAATGAAATGATCTTGGTACTCCCTTAAACCCCTAATATTCTTCTTTTTTTTTCAGTACTGGGGATCCAGTACAGGGCCTTGCACATGCAAATGCTTTTCCACTGAATTACATCTCTAGCTTCCCTATTGTACTTTTTTTCTTTTCTAAATGGTGGGGAAGGGGAAACACACACACACACACACACACAGAGAAAAGAGGAAAGTGGGGGTGGAATGGGGTGGGGTCTGGAGGTCGATATGAAGTGAAGGGATTGGACGGCAGAGCCCCAGTTGTACTTTTAATAAAATAGAATTTCTTACCCTTTCATACATGTTTTTCCTTCTGCCAAGATTGTTCTTCCTGTCATGCATGCTTACTATGTGTATCCTTCAGAACTCAACTTAAAGGACACCTCAGAGAGGCTTTGCCTATTGCTAGCTTTCATAGCAGCTGGCTCGCCTCCTTTCCAGCATTTATATTACTTTGCATTCATGTATTGAGCTCTGTGATTATTTGCTTCATGCCTTACTCCCCTCTTTACTCCTACCTCTGTGGAGCAGATCTGATCCATTGACGTCTGATCCATTTGCCTGACCTGCACATTCCCTACCATTTTCCCCTTTGCTCATTGTGTTCCAGGCATATTCTGTTTTTGATGTTGTTGTTTTTGTTGTTTGTTTGTACTGTGATTCAATTCAGGGGCCTTCTTGGCCTCCTTACTTGGTGAATGGCACATAAAGAGGTCTCAATAAATATTTATTGAGTGAATGAAGGATCAATTACAGACACCAATGCAGTTACTTGACTGGAGAATCAGGAGGCCTAGGATAGTCACTGTCTCTCTCAGGGAGGAGTAGGGCAACCTATGGTTTGGGGTCAAAAGTTCCATGTAATGCCCATCCATTCAGAATATGTGTCAAAGAACATATCACTCTTAAAATTTTTACTCTCTGGCTCTTTATAGAACAATTTGCTCACTCTAGTTAAAGTTAGGGACAAGTTCAATTCTACCTTTCCGTATGCAGAGCTAGTCCTCTGCAGACCTTTTCCCCTCCTATCAATACAAACCTGGGAGGCCCAGAAAAGGGCTGAACACCACCATCCATATGAGTTTAGAGAATCAGTAATTCCCTACATCCCCCATCTAGCCCTGGACCAGACAGGTGTTTTCTTGTAGGAAAGCCTTGAATTAACGACCTTGGTTTGAGGTGGAAGTACTCCTGGGGAGAGAATCCAGTCTTCTGCTAGAACCTGAAGCATTGAACCCCAAGTTCTTATATATTCACAGGGCAAGGCACCAATGGCTGCCAACTTGAAGACTAGATTGTAAATT